CCAGGTGTGTGTGTGTAGAGCGCCAGGTGTGTGTGTGTGTGTGTGTGTGTGTCTGTGTGTGTGTGGGCATGCGCACACACATGCGCATTTAGTGTGAGGGAGAGAGGGAGTGGGGGAGAGAGAGGGAGAGAGGGGGACCGATGCTAGCAGGGATCGTGATGTTAGCATCTGGTTAGCTAGCTGCACTAACGGACATAAGGAGCTGTTTCCACAACAAGCTGGAGGAGAGTCCTCTCCTGTCAGACTGAGGGGCTCAGGTGAGCTAAAGGACTCTTGAGTGTTTAGAACGGTTTTGTCACAAATTATTCAAAAGATTATTTCCGCGGCACACCTTCATATGATCATTATAGTTATACAAACAATAAGAGAATAAATGAAAAACAGGTATGAAATAGCCTACTATATGGCAGTAAAACAAGAATACAGTTTAATGTGATTTGTAAAATATCCATAAAGAAAAAGAAAATCTGTTTACAGTTCTGTTTCATATGGCTGCTGAGAGAGGTATCCATAGATCTCTTCATGTTGCTCTCAAAGTGCACCAGATTGATGCTTTCAACTTCAATATTTAAAAAATAATCTTCCCGCGGGAGCATCCCCCCGGACCCCCCTAGAGGAGCCCCCCGGACCCCCCTAGAGGAGGTGAGGTCCGCCCCCCAATAGCACTTTACCCCTGCCTATATGCCGTGAGCTGATTATGGAGCCTTCATTGTAACAGTAATTCAGATGCAATTAGCCTATATAAAAGGCCTCAAATTGGAAGCATTGTCTGGGCCGTCTTTTTCACTCAATTCTGCAATAGGTAGATCTCGCCTTTCACTTAGGCCGAGGTCGGTGATCTTGGGCTTAAAAAGGTTGGTGACCACTGCTCTACAGGAATCCCAAAAATATATGGTAGAAGGGTTGAAGTCCTTCCCCCAGTTGACTTGAACTGGCGGCCCTTTGCTTCCCATGCTAAGTCCCTACAGATTGAGGGACTTGCTACAGCCGCCCCAAAGCATAGGCAGTCTGTCATTATTTGATTGCAAGTGGCCTGTAATGGCCTGTAATGAGAGGAGCGTATATATGGTTTGTGTGCTGTAGTAGCAGAAATTGAGACGTAAGGGTTAGGGTTTAGGCTAACGCACACTCTTCTTAGGAAAACCTACTGCAGCCTGCTTCCAATTGGAAATGGTAGTCATCCTTTTACTTTGTTCATGTTTCTATCAAAAGTGTTGTAGCCCTGTGTGTACCTCTGTGATGAGCATCCGTGAAGCCATGGTGAGCCTGGTCCTCGGAGAGAAGTGGTCGGTGATCATGATTCTCATGCCCGCCTCAGAGAAGGACAGCTGGTGGGGGTAGGCTGACAGCAGCTCGTCCACCATCAGCACAGAAGGCTTCCTGTGGTGGTTCGCTGTGGGAAACACACACATGCATCTTCAATATTCCATACCTCGTGACATCGTGCTAGAACATACAGTTCTTTAACACACAAATCAAATCCTAGATCATGTATTCTTAAACGTTTTTTTTTTTAACTAAGCTTAAAAAGTGGGAGAAGATGGAAAAAGTTAGCATGGCTCTGTCCTGGGTTAGATAATGCACATGCGCAATGGAGTGGTGTAGGAATTCAGGAGTCCTAAAACCAGGAAATTAGCATTTTACCACTGCCGGTGTCCTCGTCTCGTAATCAACGTTTATATAAGATCTGTAGTTAAAAACAAAGCTAAAGAGATTTTATTTATTTTTGTATTACTACCCCGACAGGTTAATGTGTGGAGTTTTTATGTATGTTAGAAACGACTGTTGCTAACAGGTTGATAAATGAGACAGCTAAATGTTGTCACACCGAACATTTTCTGCCTTTAGCCTAGCGGTGGTGACGTTATGTCATGCCACCGTCATGCAGTTGTTTTTACATTTTAACTTCTCCAGATCGCATTTACACTCAACAATCATAAAAGTGGTGTTAATATGTGGAGATTATCCTACTTAACAAAAAGTGTAAGTATCATAAACATAAAAAAGAACCTTTCTTCAGTAGAACAGATGTAGCATCACAGCCATCTTCAAGCTCGCCGTTAGAGGCCACTCCATTTCTCAGACTGGACAAATTCTTCGTCCGCCTCTCCAGAAAACGAACAACGTAGGAGTTCATCCTGAAACAAAGGTCAAGACTAATTCACATCGAACATTTATGTTGAAAAAAGAGCAACAGGAAGTGATCATTCTGACGCCAACTGATAATCACCGACTTAAAACATAGCATAGTTGTAATGATCAAAATCTTACTGATATGATTAAATGGGTTAGCTGTGATCAACCGGTAGGGGACTCCTGTTTTGTCCCGTTTGTGTTCTTTAAGAAAAACTTACTTCATTATGAAAATGTAGACGAAATACATCAGAACCAACGTCAGAGCTTCCCACCTGGAAAACACAGTTTGGATAAATTACCATGTGAATCCTTTGTTCTTATTTTTCATTAATTGTAAACATTCAACACTTTTAAAGTTTAGACTTACCAAACAATTTTTTCGTCATATATGAACTGTAATATGAAAGAGGGAAAAATTACAGAAGTGAAAATCAGATATTTAAATGTGCAATTAAAACAGCTTTTAAAAGCATGATTATTGTAAATTCATAAAGGTGAAGAGGAAAATGAAGACAAACATCTTCTCTCTTTGATACACCTGTGTGTTGTTTCTTGACACAGCTAACAACTTAGGAGACGACTGTTGGAAAACGATAGTCTCAACACTGTACGTTACCGTAGTGATACACTAACACCAACAAATGTTACTGTGTTATTGTGAAACAACACAGAAAATGTAGATTAAGGCTTCTGTTTAACACGATAACATTGTGAATGATGTTCATATAGTTGGTTACAAAGAGCATAATTACATGTGGACACATCAGGACCACTTAAGTTTGGTGATAAAATCTATTAATATTTCCAGAGAATGCAGGATGAATCTTTGTATTTGCAAAGTTTGCGACTCTGGGTCGTATCAAGCTGTTCCTTACCACTATGAGAGCTGTGATCGACAGGGTGTAGTATGTAGAGTCTCTGATGAGAGGCCAGCGGGTGAGATGGATTGCCTGAGAAAGAGAGAGAGAGGCCAAACTTACAGACAGGCTGCACAAGGAGTCAACATTTTATTGAAATGGAAATATGGACTATTGCATTAATAATGTATTTTTTAGGTGTAACCAAAAGTGATTTTCTTTCTCAGAATTCTGACTTTATTTTTAATATAATAATTAACTTTTGGTCAGATCTAAACAAAAATTCACATGGCTCTCATCCTCGTGTGTAGGTGCAATATTCAAATTGCAGGAAGAACACTATTTGTTAAAGGCTTAATATGTAGCCTACTGCATATATACATTTTGAAGGAAGAATTATCGAGCTGCAGGACTATCCCAACCTAGAAGATCATCTTTGAAAAATACTCCCACCATTATCAGTTAATATATTTTTCAATCATAATAAGAATTCTAATCAAAAACGATTAATCTCTCCATTATCGTGAATCATTGCAAATTGCAAAATCAGTCAAAAATAAAAATAATCTCAATTTGTCCAAACCATGCAGCCCAGGCACACACTGCTGAGTCACACATCCCACAATGCACTCACTGCTTTGCACTTCTAACAGGATAAAGCAGGCTCTGTGTGTGCTTGTTTGTGTTTGTGCATGTCTCTTTTGGGCTTGCATAACATGCAATCTAAATAAGAATTTCCAGTCTGCCTTTCTCCCAGGATTACAGCAGGGAACGAGAGACACATAACAGTTGATTCAGACGAGAGAGAGATTGTATTATTCATTTGAGGTTTTACTTTCATTTTTTGTATCAACTTAGGGGTAATGCAGGAAATTGAAATATTATTCTATGAGAACATCATATCAGCACATTGTCAGCTAATGGGTGGATGGATGCAGGAATGAGTATTGAAATGACTAGTAGTAGTATAGAAATGACTTAGTACTGGACATTAATTAGCATAACACAAGTTCTCACACCATCTCTAAATCAATGATTAGATTAGAACTGTGGTTAACCCAAGCAAGATTTTCACATTTAGTTATACGACATGAAATACGTCAGAAATTACCCCAATTGTTAATGTGCAAAGCTTATATGTGCCTTAAAAAAAGGGGGTAGCTAATAAGTGGCTAAATGAGACTGCAAAATGTTGTTATGTCATACAATAGCCCCCTTTAGCTTAGCAATGCCTGAGTTAAGATATGTGGTTAGGTGACTAAATGAGTATACTTAACGTCCTCATGCTAAACATTAGCCTTCTCTAGCTTAGCAGTGGTTATGCCTGTGGTCTTAATTTTCTACTTCTAGCAATTGAATTTACGCTTCAAAACCAAAAAAGTGGTGTTAATGTGTGGCGATTATCCTGCAAAACAAAACGTCTAAGTATCATAAACGTGTGTTTGCAACAGAGCCTATTTTCTGCCACGAAAAAGATGTCATCACTGATCCACTCTGTAGTGCAGTGTTTAAAATGCTTCATAAATGTCTGAGTGAATATTGGTAGGAGGAATACTAAGTTTGAGAGATAAAGAGCCATAAAAACACTACTGATAAGGTTTTGTGTGTGTGTGTGTGTGTGTGTGTGTGTGTGTGTGTGTGTGTGTGTGTGTGCGTGCGTGCGTGCGTTTTGGACTGTACCTGTACGGCAAATATGCCACACACTCCAATAATACAGAGGATGTTGAAGACGGCGGAGCCAACGATGGTGCCGACCCCGACGTCACCTTTCGTGATGAAAACTCCTGTAAACACAAATACCCATTACCCACTTTACAAACATTGTGTTCACATTTTGGGGATATAACTTTGCTATGATTGTAAAAGAAATAACAATAATTTTCAATTGAAGCTTGGGTATTTTCATTGTTATATTTCTGAAATCTCTTCACAAGAAATTCTCTATTTGTTTGTTTTCCTTTTTCTTTGTATACTGTCACATAAAGTTAAAAAATCGTTTGTAATCTTATTTTATCCCTACAACTTTGTGAAACAACATACACATTGCAATAAAAAATAATTATCTGGATATGAAAATGTACAGAATACCAACAATTAATACAAAATACACATAATTATAACAAAAGCAGGCTATTATGAGACCAGGGGCCGTATTCACAAAGCATTTTATCTTACCGCTAGGAGTGCTCCTAACTCGCGCTAAAACATTTTACGTAGGAGTTTTTTCTTAAAAGTTATTCACAAAGCCGCTGAGACCTACTCATACTAAGGATAAATCACTAAGAGTGAACTAAGAGTGACGCGCCGTTGCTATGGATTACGTCGATTCTCGTGCATTAGTTTAGAAGCGGTCAGTACGGTGATTGGTTGTTCAGAGCAGGCGGTCTCGGTGAAACTCATCCGCAACATCCCACAAACGAGCCCACTAAAACAAGGAAATAGCCTAGGCTAGAAATGTATTCCTATCAAATAGTTATGGACAGTGCAGTTAGCAGAATACACGCATGATGACAAGTTTGTGCAGACCACGATAATGACGTTGTATATGCACGTTAAAGAGAGAGAGCAAACAATAAAAATACGTAAATTGCATTAAATCGAGGAGGCAATTAAAAGCACCCTGCAAACTATTATCCAATGAGCATATTTCCAGCACTTAAACACTTTCAATAACAGCCCATACCGCCGTTCAAGTCCCCCTATCAT